GACAATGGCAATATTAGTTGTTATTCATGTTTTCATTTAGAACTGGCCAATGAACTAGTGCACCCTATTATAACAAGCCACGGGGATAACCTTGGAGGCCAACAACTGAGGCACTTTGGGCATTTACTCTGCCAACGCTTAATAGGATCTCAAACAAGATTATGATGATTTGGGCCCCTATTTAGTTTATGCCAATTTTTTGTGGCAACCATGCTGTTTTTTGGTAAAAGAACAATGCCAAAATAGGCGCCTTCATGCTAAAGCCATGGACCCACCTTGCTATGGTATGTGAGCCGTCATGACTCATGCAGGACCACCCGTTAAAAGATTGTTATTACAATTTATTTATTTACAATAAAATACACATTGCTCATGCAACCATGCTCACTCGAGTGGTGCACATGCACACACACTTTTGCTGGAATTCATGTGCCAAATTGTAGGAGATTTGCAAACCTGGCATGCCTCGCATACTATTCCCAAGACCACCTACCCACCACCAGTTTCTTCCGAACGAGAGCGAGTGCCAAAGCTGTGCTCCAAGGCGCCCGCCTTAAGGATGTTAGCACATCTTTATCAAGTGAAAGGCAATCGACTCGCCGGGTCGATCGCCACAAACACAACTTTCAAACTTGCCTCTCCCTACCCCACCCCACCCCCACCCCCACACCACTCGCCTCCAGTTGACAGCCAAGGAGGCACCTCAAAGCACTGCAGCACTGCCCCCAAGCCTCTTTGAAGTGAAAGATCACGGTGATCGACCCATTGGGTCAATCGTCGCGGCCGCAGTTTTCAAATTTGAACTTGCACCAACCCGCCCCACTCCTCTAAAACCGCCACTCATTCTAATCTATGGCCAAGAGACGCCAAGAGGCACCTCAAAGTGGCCACCCAGCTTGCTCACAGTGAACATCGCATTGAGTGACCAGTTGTGTCAATCACCTTGAACAATTTTTTTTTGCATTGGTTGCCCCCAAACCCCTACATCCTTTACCCATCGCCCTCCCAAACGTGACTCGAGCCATGGCCGTGGGAGATGGCAATCACAACCGCTGACCACTTGCCCCCAAGTGCCACCTGGTTCACGGCCGCTGCGCCCCATTCAAGAAAGTTGGGGGGGGGTGGATTGTGAGAGGGCGGTCGGCTGCAATGCGGTGGGCCGGGCGCTGGTCAAGGGCGGGGGGAATGGGCATGAGTGGCCGGTCGGCAACCATGCCGCGCGTGCGGCGCACGCACCCCATGTGCGTAGGTAGGTCAAGCCCGGGGATAGGCGGGTGTGCACGGCTGGCGTCCGCGCCGTGCGCCACCCGTGCGCCGGGCACTGGTGCAGGACTTGGGAGGCCCACCATAGGCGTTACGCAAGCCGCGTAATGACCATATGCGTAACGCAAAAAAGTGACCACGCGCACATGACGCATGGCACCAGAGGTGTCCCGGACCCCCTCTCCTCCCCCTTAGTCATACCTAAACCCAAGCCAACAGGCCACGTGTGCCGGTGGAGGAAACCCGGGGGAAGCCGGCGTGAGGCTGGCTGGCGTCCACGCTGCGCCGGGCCCGCGCGCCGCCGGAGGCGCAAGGAAATCCGGGGATGGGTGTGAGTGCACGGTCGGTGCCCATGCCACCTGCCGCACCACACGCGCACCGCACGAAGCACAAGGATGTTCGGGGATGGGCGTGAGTGCGCGGTCAGTGCCCATGCCATGCACCGCACAAGGCGCAAGGAAGCCCAGGGAGGACAGCGTGTTGCCGGTCGGTGTCCGCGCCGCGCACCACCCACGCGCAGCGCGCAGTGCTAGGAAGCCCGGGTAGGGGGCAGTGCGTGCACGGCATGCGGTCGACAGCGTGCGGTCGGCGACCGGCGGCCGGCGGTTAGTGAAAATCGCGATTTTGCTCTACAAAGCTCTTGTCGCTTTGCTCGCTCGCAAAAATCACTATAAGCTTTCTCCATTGTGATTGGATATGCTGGAAGGCTACTCTTTCTTGTTTGTGGGGAAGAAATTGTAGATCATTATTAGATGACCAATTGCATGCGAGAGTCCATTTCGTGTCTTGCAATTCCAGTCATGAGGGAATACCATGATCATTTGTTTATTACCACACAACACATTTGGGTGTTAGTGTTGAATTGTTTATTATAGCTTCTTCAGGGGGATATGGGGCATTGGCAGTTGCCTGCTTGCTTGAGTATATCCACATCGCCTATCGGCACATCACATGGGTGTGGTTTCCCCTAAGGCCTGAGGATTGTCCACTGCATGTCATTCTATATATGAAGTTTTTGGGGGGGGATTTGAAGGCCATGAAAGGTACGAGGGCCTAAATGCCCCCAAATACCCAAAACATTCCAAAACCAAAATGATCTTCATCACCTTCATGACTTCATGTCCATAAATAAAGGGTACTGGACATTTGTGTAAGGCATTGCCTTCCGTCCTTCAAATAACATTTGTACATAATAGAAGTGGATTCAGTAGCCCAAACGATCCACTATGTCAACGAGGTAGGGAATCCAATATATCAGTGGCATGGAATCCCTATTGTGGAAAAGCCTAGTCTTAAATTATAGGCTAGCCACGCAACTTGGAGCACCACGGAAATGAATTTCTTAGAGTTTGGCTCAACGTTCTTGTGTAAAACTCGACCCCTGTGATGTAGGGGTTACGTGAGTAGCAGGGCACTCCAAGTCAGGTGCTGTGGGCATGCATCCCCCTGTGGGCCGGTGGTTGTGCTCGAGGGCCACCGACGGGAGGCGTGTGGCTATAGGTGCCGGGGCCGTGGTATGCCATGCACACATGCACTCGAGGCGTGGTTTCCTTGTGTGATCTTGCATCATCGTGGCAGTCTTGGAAAGTCGTGGGTGTGTTTGGATGTGATGGCGATGGTGTGGCATGAGCCTGTTAAGGGGCCTTGCTGGGCCGGGCGCCGCTTCCAAAGCGCAACGGGATTAGAGGCGAAGCTTTTTGAAGTTGTTCCCATGGGGGCCAGCACCCGACCGTACTGGTCGTGTGTTCCTTTTGTGCAATCGTGTGAGCGCATGCAAGGCCGTGCACCAATGGTGCAAGTTCCGACCATCAAGAATAGCAATCCAAAACATAAATTGCCCTCTGCGTGTGGCTGTGTCACGAAGAGGCTCTAGAGCCCCCATGATGGTGTTTAGCAATAGCCATCAGCATGGCGATCGTTGCGTGGAATGTAATTGCCATATCGTAAGCCTTGCTGCCCTGGGCAGCCTGCCCAGGGCCAAGGGGCCCAAGGGTGGCACAAGTGCAGGTCGTTCAGTTGTGGGTCAAGAGGGAATGTCGTGATCGGGAAGGGTGCAACAAGTGCCCCATCCAAGGGGGGATTCCTTGGGAAAGGCGAAGCCAACAATCCTATGATGCATTCTTGCGATGGTGAGAAATTCCATTGCTGAAAGTGGCAAGATGGTGGGCGTCTCCATGGAGTTTTTAGAGCTACGCTCAAGGGCGGCCGACGGGAGGGGTGCAGATATCGCTGCCGTGGCTGCAGCGCTCAGTGCCCACTTGCACTTGACACGTGTCTTCCGACATGATGGCACACCACTGCGATGGCTCACATCCCAAAACTCAATAGTCGAAGTTGCAGTCCCCTACAACGACTCCCCATGTAGCATAGTGAGAGCAAACTCACGGAGCAGTGCGGTGTAGCCCTTGCCACAACGACAGTGGCAAAGGGACATAGCGAAGAACATGATGAGCAAATCGACAGGGAATGGAAAACATCAACAATGCAACAGCACAGCCCAGCCTGGCCAGCGAGTCAGTGGAATATATAGCATAGGAACGAAAAGGTGCAGAACGCTGGGCCGAAAGCCCGACTTCTGCGCTGGTTACTCATGTTAGGCGCGCTGCTGCAACGTACTTCTGCAACGTATCTGGAATTAATTGTCCTCTATGAATTTGGCGTCCTACTTCTCCATCATGGGAAGCTTTGGACTTCAAGTGAAACTTCTTTTGCAGTTGTGCCTATAAGTTTGGAATATACAATAGAAAGTCAAGTTAATCCGTTCAATATTGAGGATTTGGCATTACTTTGTATCAAGGGTCTTTTATCAAGTAAACCTCGTTTTCTTGGATCAAGATTGACCACAAACTAACCTTTCGCTCGGTGCTCAAAGGGGCCGCGTCTCAGCTTTCCTTCTGAAAATTGGTATTTAAGGGATTGGGAACCCAATCTTTTCGATTTTGACCTCCGTTTGCGAATTTGAGGCAGTTCTTGTAGTGAATTTTGTCTCTAAAATAGAGGACAATTAATTCGGACAGAGGAAGCAATAAATAGAGTTACACCAAAAAAGCACAGGAAGGACAAACCCACCCACAAAACGGGATGAGGAGAACGTCAATGCAAATTCTTGATACACCGAAAGTCAAAAGCCTCACAACTTCCACTTCCTCAGCGTAGCACTTCCTCAAAATATTTTTCACGAACAAATTGCCTGGGGCACTACAGCTGTCAATTTACCAAGTTCTGCAGAGAATTCACTTGAGTATGTTACGTGCCAATTTCAATAGACGTCAGCAAGCGCCACAACAATTGGCGAAAATCTGAACAACTTATCTTGCCTCTATTCGTACAACACTACAATAGTAACCAGAGAGGTGGGTCTTGGAATCCAAAAACTGCCTGTCACTATATAAATTGGCCATACAGTTTAGGTGCTACTTATTCTGCAGAGAACAAAAGTACGAGGCGATGAAGCCCAGAAGTGATACATGCCAACGCCCCAGTCTTGAGCACGAAGGAAGCATGCCCTGCAAGCTGCATTTGGGCGGTCCCCCATCGAGCATTCTTACCCCCCTCCCCACCCCCCCAAACAAAGGTGAGAAAAACGAACAGCCGACCGCTGTGGTGGATGCTGCCAACCCACACAGATCTCCCCGTGTCCCCCTCCGCAGGCTTGATTCTCCATATCCAGGTATCACCAGTCCAGTCCAGCGAAACCACCACGGGTCGCCAACCCCACTGCCCGCAGCCCGCCAGCGTCATCCGCCCGTGGGCATGTCGTCAGAGGCGATCGACTGGGAGGTCTCCCGAGCCATGGCGTGGCCGCACACCGCGTGCTGCCACGAAAACACGAGTTTCAGCCATTTCCGGGCGCACTCCTCCCCAGGCCCCCTCCTATCCGCGCTCCACTCCGCCCTCGGCGACGTGAACCCCATCAGCGTGGACTCCCCCTCCGCCAGGCGCCAGGCCATGCGCTTGCCCCTCACCTCCACGGTGGTGCGCCCGGACCCGGCCGCCAGTTTGGGCGACGCGGAGAACCCGAAGCTGTGTCCCGGCTCCAGGTGCCAGAACGCGCCATTGACCGCATTGGTCTCTCCGGGCCGCGTCCGCCTGAGTATCCGATCCCTCCTGCCCATGGCCGCCAATCTCAGCGTGGACTCTCCCTTGAGCGCCACCCCCACCAGCAAGAAGTCCCCCGGCAGGCGCTCCAGGTCCTCCGCGCTGGTGTCCTGCACGCAGGGTTTGCCGTACACCACGCGCCAACCCAGGTCCTTCAGGTCCGCGATCTCCACGTTGGACAGGATGCCGTGCGCGTAGGGCGCCACGCACTCGGGCACGTCCTCGGAGGCGTCGGAGGTGTCGCCGTCGGGGGGCGGCTCGTCCCGCCAGGTGGGGGTGAAAGCGTCGGACCCGATCGTGCCGCTGCCGCTGCTCACCGGCTCCTGGCCAGAGGCGACCTCCATGCCGGCCACATCCTCTCCCCGGTCCGGCACAGCCTTGATCCCACCCGCGTACAGTCCATCGCCGTCCTTGGTGCCGGCCTTGATGCCTCCGCAGAACACGGAGTCGATGTCCACCTCGCCCATTCCCATGCCGTTCATCATCCTCCTGAGGGCCTCCACGGGCAACCCGCACTCCTCCAGGCCGAACAGGCTGTCCACAGCGGGAAGGGCGGCGCTCAGGGAGTCCTGGGGGCCATGGCCCTGACAATCCCGGCCCCTCCTTTGATCACCCACAGCCAGGGACACGGCCCTGAGGATGTCCGGAATCGGTCCCTCGCTGTGGCGTGGCTGCCTGACGAGCATGTCGTCCTTGAGGTGGAGTCCCAGGCGAGACAGCATGGCCGGGCAGCCCTCTCTCCGGTCTTCCTGGCTGTGCTCCACCCACTGAAGAGCGCAGCACAGGACGGAGAGCTCAGACAGGGAGTGGCGCTCGCGGGCCTCCTCCAGGATTGACACGTACAGGTCACACTCCAGGTTCAGGAATTCCTTGCCATTCCTGATGGTGTCGAAGGATGAGACGGCCATCGCGCGGGCGGCGGCCTCCAGGTCGTCGGACCCGCACTTCCTGGCCTCTATCAGGAATTGGAGGCAGTTTTCGGCGTTCACGCCGTCCTTGACGTACTCGTTGCAGAGCTTGACCACCTGCTCGATATTCAGTCGCTGGGCCACTGCGCAACAAAAAGAGACGTAAGCGGTCCTATAACGAGAACCGGCAATAGTCAGCGAGCGGGTGGGCTCGAGTCGCAGTTGAACGGGTTGTGCAGCCCCTGGTTAGATTCATCGAGCATCCCTCTTGGTTCGGTGCGCGCTCTGTCGCGAAGAGAAGATGCATCAAGGATGCTTGCCAGGTGCATGTTCTGGGCGAGGCCGGCAAGGGAATGCGCTTGCAAGAACAAGCTCCACTGATTGCCCTTCAGCATCAAGGGGTTTGTCGCTGACACTCGAGGCGACCGATGGGTCACAACCTGGGTCTCGACGCCGTCCGCGTCCAAGCCACTGCTCAGCCCAAGATGCTGACGACGCGAACTGCGCGTTTCCAGGGTGGACAAAAGCATCCAGGTCACGAATCCAGTCCCGCGCGCCGATGCGGTCCGTCCCGTCCAGCCACCCGATCACCTCACGCGGCTTCTTCAAACCTGGCGAGTAACAGCAATCCCCCACACGCGGCCGCTCGCGACCAACCTGCCAACGGGCTGTCGCTTCCCAGTGCGGCCGCACACACCCCGCGGCAGCAACAACCCCGACCCCCCCCCACTAAGCCCCCGAGTGCCTGCGAGTAGTTCCAGACTCACCTCTCCTCATCCGCCAGACGCCCCGGTAGTCAAGGGTCATCTCACCCTTGTAGAAGGCATCAAGCAGCGACTTCAGCGCGACTGCGTCCACCCGAGACAGCTGAATCCATGCCGCGTGCCCGGATGCCTCAGCGTCGGCGAAGGCCGCCCTCAACACGGGGCTCCAGGACGCCAGCAGGGCCTTGTGGCCCTTCAGCACCTGAATTTTGCTCCTGCCACGGGAGTCCGCGGCGGACACCACAATCGAGACGTCCCCTGCCCCGCCGGTCTCGATCTGGGACTGAATGCGGCGCCTGGAGCGCTGACTCAAGTAGAACACCTTTGCGCCCTCCCCGGCCATTCCATCCACGGGCGCCAGCCTCGCTTGCCTTCCGTCCGGGCCACCCTTTCCCCGAGGAGGCTCGGTGCGCCCGGCCACCCGTGTGGTGCGGGGCGCACGAGTTCGCACCGGGTTCTTGATCGCTGTGCACGCGCCGTGAGGATGCCGGTGGGCAAGATGCGACGTAGTGGACAGACGTATTGTTGTGCCAGAGGCAACTTCCCGGGAGTTTTGGGAAGAACATGTGCCGGTGGGGCCGGCAAGTCGCGCCGCCCGGCCCGCCAGGACGGGCTGCGCCGTGTTGGTGGAATTGGGCCGGGTGACTCACGCGCCGGTGTAATATTCACGGGAATCTTTAGGGCTGGCAACAGCAACGGCAAGAGGCGTTCTGCTCTTGGGGATGTGGTATTCGAATGATGGAGGCAAAGGCGCGGAGAGCGCCTTCAGTCGCCAAGGGCACTGCCCAAACGGGCGCCGCCAGGGCCCGCGGCGCCGCCCAATGGACTGTGCACCCCCCGCCGCTCCCTTGGACCACGACCCACCGAATCAACAAAGCAACAAGAGCGCCGTCTTGCGCTGTACAGTTTCCCTCCTCCCTCTTAGGCCCCCGCTTTTGCTGATCCGCGCATCATCGCCCCCCACCTTCTGATTCGCATATCTGCCCCGCACCAGCCCAAAAGGAAAAAAAATGCAGCCGTCGGATGTGACCACACACTCGCACGCCCCCTGCCTCCGCGGCCCCGGCCCCCGTCGAGCGTCGGGCGCCGGGCAGCAAGGGCACAGGCCAACGGCCACGCCTGGCCGCCTCAGCGCACGGCCCACTCTCACAGCCTGCCTCCTGCGCTGAGCTTGTCCATCAAAGCCCCCTGTTGGACTTGAGGCCTCCAAGGCGTTGTTGGCGCTTCCGCCGACCTCTGACAACGGGCGGCGGTGATCGTACATGGTGGAGCGCGTGTTCTCCCTCGCGGACTACGCGTCGGCCCAGTTCAAGGCCCTGCTGGACGGCGGCGACTACACCGACATCACGCTGCTGGTGTCCGTGGCCGGCGAGGATGGCAAGTTCGTGATCGACCCCGTGAAGAGCCACAAGCTGGTGCTGGGGGCATGGAGCCCCGTCCTGAGGTCCATGATGGAGAAGGCGGCTAGGGATGGGCACCCCAATTGGGTACGGCTGACGGGGTACGAGCCCGCCGCATTGAAGGGCATGATTGAAACGTTCTACACTGGGAAGTTCACCCTGACGGTGGACAGGGTGTGGGCGACGCGGAAGGGTGAGTGGATCGGCTTGGATTTGCGACGGCCGCCTTGTTCGGACTCGTTTTAGGGGCCGCAATGCTTTGAGGCGATTGCGGCTTCGGCAAAGATAATGGGAGATGGGTGCCTGGCCCGGCACCGGCCAAGTGCGGCCGTGCCAAGCCGCGGCATGCATGTGTGCATCCCTTGCCGGCGTTTGTGCCTGTGGGCTCGCGCCGTGCGCGGGACACGGCAGGCCGGGTCTCTGCTCCGAATTGCGGTCATTCAGTCAGGGAGCTGGGAAGGTGTTGCGAACCATGGCCTCCCGCGTGGAGGGCGCTCCACGAAGGTCCAGAAGCGACAAACATCGACACACGCGTCAAGCACAATATCCGTTCGCAGCCGGTTCCCCTTCTGGCGGCTCAAACAAATGATGAACGCCCGGCGTGACGGTCTGCGGCCGAACAGTAACCGTGCTACTCGGAATTGGTCGTGAAGCTTGCTGCATTCTGTTTCGGTTGCTGACGACTTGCTGGCGACACCCCACTGGTCGCGCTGGTGGCGGGGCTGCCTTGCACCCACCTCCTTTCTGCTGCCACTGAGATGGCCTCACCATTTTGCGTGCTCTTGGTCCCGTTCTCTTTGCGGTCACCGTCTCGTCGGTGCCAGCTCACTTATTCCGCCAGGGAGCAGGCCTGCCCAGATTCACTCAGCCCTGTTGTGTGTCTGTCCCCTGGTGGGCGCAGCCGCCCAGCCACGGGTGGCCCTTATTGCGCAAGCGCAACTGCCTAGGATTTCCAGCCTCTGCCACCATCCTGGGCGTTGGGTGTGCAACACCTGAGTCGCAGTGTTGTGCTGTTTGTGACCAGTTGCAGTGCAGTTGGACGTCCAGCCAGTGGTCAAGCAGTGTGATACTTATCTGCAATCAAACATCACCATGGACACATGCATTGAATGGGTGATGCTTGCCAGAGAGAATGGTGCAGACGATTTTGCAAACCAATGTCTGGCGATGATGGGACGATGTTTCAACGCCCTCAGGGAGCAAGATGCCTTCCTGGCCATGGATTCCCAACTGCTTCTCCAGCTTTTGGACTCACATCAGTTGCAGGCAGTCTCTGAGTACTCTGTCTTGACGGCAGCCCTCAGGTGGGTGAATCATGACCCAGGCAATAGACAGGAGTTGATTCCTGAAATCTCAAAGCGAATCAGGTTCCACTTGATGTCTGCAGAGGACAAACGGAAGCTGCTGAATGGGACCCACAGCGCAAAGGACTTGCCGAGGGAGGCTCGTGAGAAGTTCAATGAGGTGGTGAAGAGCAACCTCAAGACAAGCAGTCTCAGAGAGATTAATGTGCCAAGGAATGGGGTGTTGCGAAGGGGCATTGTAGTGGACATGCCCATCGATGAGATCCGTGAGGTTGGGTGGAAGTTGGTGTATGGGCAGCCCTACATGAGCCACACAAGCGTCAAGGACTTGGAGAACATAGAAGGGGATTACCTGATGGTGGCTGCGAGCCGCAAGGGTGAGCGCAAGATAAAGCTGTGTGCTATGGGCCGGAGGGACAAGATCCTCACGCAGACACGAGGGAATGAAGTCACATTTGAAAATGGCACGTTTTGGTACTACTGCCCTGACAGAGCATTTGGCTTTGCGCCCAATGCGCACATCGACCTGAACATTGCGGACACTGTGGATGAGGATGGGGACAAAAGGCTGAGCTGGCACTTGCATGAGAGGAGAGACTCATCTGGCGATGCCGGAGGTTTCAGGGCAGGCATGCTGAAGAATATCAATGAGGAGACGCAATGGGTTAAGCTGGTGTTCTCATTAAAAGCGGAGTGAGCTGGACCATGGGGCTACAGTCCGGGAGTTCTGCTGGTTGCTGTGCATAGGCAGGCGGAGGGAGCAGAGGCAGCCAGATGGTTATTGCCTCTGGGCAATGTGCGATGGGAGGTAAAAAAGGTGTGGCAAGGAGTGGTTTTTGTGGCTGTGTGATGGGCTGTGCCATAGTGTACAGTGCCTGAAACAGCCAACGAAGCTGCCGTCTGTGAAGGGCCGGGAGTGCTGGATGCTGATCTCATGAAGAAGGGGCAGGTACCCTCAAAGCGATGATCGCAATCATCAAAGGAATCGTGAATGGGAACTTGAGAGGTCGAGACGGAACAACAAATTTCTGTTCATTTGTGTGCAAGGTGGACGTTGCGATGTTCAATGGGTTGTGGTAGCAGGGGTGGGAGGTGGGGTAGCGTGGGATGGGGTGGGATGCAGACATAGGGGCAAATATCTTTAGTGTGTCACTTGTTTGGAGGGAGGTTGCACGTCATTGCAGATTGCACATGGGATTGTCATGGGCTGCCAGTGTCACTTCGATTGTGCTATTTAAGGATTCATGGTTCTTGTATGCATGGTCACAATGTACATTATCATCACATTGCCCAGGATTAAAAATCTCCTAAATGGCCCTAATCAGGGCACATGCCCATGCCACCGGCAGGATTTTTCCACACGATGCAATCCGTCGCACCCCAGGCAATCAGTTGGCGAGGCCCTTAGCACCGTGAACCCGCTGCGAGTCCTTGAGCTTGTAGATTGTGGGGCTGAAGCCGTTATCAATTGTAAGCGTATGTGCGCAGTCATGGTGCCGTATATCTGTACCTTACCTACTAAGAGAGGCACTTCTGTCATATCATGCATAGCAAACTGCATGCGCAGGCCAGGTCCATGGACGCCCATCGTTCCGGCCGTCCATAGCACACGAGTGGAATTCAGTGCACGATATTCTGTATAAGATTGGCAACAAGGCACCCTTGCCTTGTATGCCTTGATGATCCCATCACACAACAAACACAACTCTGAACACCCCACAATGTCACTGGCAATCAACTCTTAACTTCAACAGGAATGTTCCAGGACCGACAAGCCCAATCACCAGTTCAACAGTTCAGGCACCCTTTGAATCCCCCCCCCACGATCAAATTGAAACACAAGGATGCTCAGCGAACGGTCACTCCATCCCCAGCTCAATTCCAGAATCAATCGGCGTTGGGCATCCTGGCACTTAGGTCGCTGATATAGTAAATCCCTCACGCTGATCTCAAGTCCACTCAGAACGATCCAGAAATTCTCCAGAGGTACAGAGATATCCAGAGGTTCCAGATCGATCCCCAAAGGTCCATTGAACAGTTCGTCTCATCGATCCCAACCCCAATTCCAACTCCTTCCCAACGATCCAGTACTTCTGGCGTCCTCTGGGGTCCCAGTTGGGCCCAAACGGTCCAAGAGTCTAGGGTTTGTGCCTCGTGCACATAGTCCTCGGGGTGCACATTTTTATAGGTGGGGCGCTGTAAGGGTAGAACATTAGGTTCGTGCGTAAAGTAGGTGGGCGTGCCGCCTTGTGTTATCCAAACACGCTTAGCACCATTGGGAGTGGTACTTGGGGACCAAACGGGACGGGTTCGAAGTGATAAAGGCCGGCAAGCCTTGGGGACCAGCGGAACGGTGAACGGAAGAACAAAGGACGGACGAATTCGAATTGAGAACCACCGGGTACGCCAGAAAAAGGGTGACTCATCCTATTTCTGGCATGACCCTTGGGATGCCTTGGGAGGGCGGGTATAAATACGAGAACACCAAACCCGTTTGTAATCGAAGTTGCAAAGCAAGTTCCGACTAGGCCTGTTCCCGACTCGAACGGGATTCCGCGGGCCATTTCTCGACTGGCCAGAAGAGGACGTCGCCCCTTACAAGTGGTTTCGGAGCCTTCGATTCAGACGACCTCGAAGCGACGCGAGGAGCTGACCCGCCGAGTCAAGAACTGCGGCGGCAGCGTGTGGCGGGAGCAGTTGAGGGGTGGCCATCACCGCGGACAACAAAAGAGAGACCGCGTGATTCCATCAATCCAAGAGGACAGCCAAAGACGCTGAGAAAATGTGGCCGGAAGACCTGGGTGCGCAAGGGCGGCACGACGGGGTACGGCGAGAGAGCCGAGCCAGGGGCTGCGATGAAGGAACACAGTTGTTGAGGGGCGGAGACCATCACGGCGAACGAGGAAACAGTATGGCATTCGTTATCCCTGGAATGCAATCTGAAGAGACCGGGATACGGGAGCCGGGGGCTCCAGACGCGCGAGTACGGTGCAACGAAAAATGGCGGGAAAATTGCGTGGGAACAACAGCTGGGCCAGAGCCGAACGAGCTGGGTTCCTCGGACGCAACGGAAAACGAAGAAGTGATAAGTAAGGCGCTGGAGTCTTGGCGAAGGAGACAAGCGCGCTGGTGGGCAACCGTCCACGAAATGGGCCTGTACGAATAGTCATGAAATTGGAAGGAATACAGTGAATACAGCGAGACTATGAGCAATGGGTCAGCTCGCGGGAGGAACCCTCGGTGCAGAGAGACCCGGATGAGGAAATTAACGAGATGCAAGTGAGACATGGGAGGCTGCTCCGCTTCAAGGGAACGCTGGGTGGACAGAAGACTCGAATACTGGTTGACAGCGGAGCAACCGGTAACTTTATCAGCCAGGAATTTTGTGAACGGCATGGCATATGCTGGAGGGAGAAAGGCAAGACCCAGACATTACACATGGCGGATGGGACGGCACGTCACAAGCCCAAGCGGGAGGTGGAAAATTACAAACTGCAAATAAATGAGTTCAAGTGCAGGCCTGCCTTCCAAGTTACGAAACTGGGACGTCATGACACAATTCTGGGAGTACCCTGGCTGCACGAATTTAATCCGAGGATCGACTGGAAGACCAACACTCTGCAGATCAAAGACAGGAAAGCACGGCAAGTATTGAACTGGTTACGAGAAGATGACGAAGAAACCCGAAGGATCAATGCAATCACCCTGTCCGGAAAAGGGCTGTCCCAAGCCCTGAAGAAAGGAGCCAAAACCTACGTGGTGGTAGTGAGAGAAACCAGCCATGAAGAAACAAAAGAAAAACAAGAGCCAACAAATTCAGGAAACACTATCAAAGGAATTTTCAGAGGTAATGAGTGACGAGATATGGCTGGGACTACCACCTGAAGGGAGACCGGAGCACAGCATCGAGCTGCTACCGGATGCCAAACCTGCGCACACTCCTGCCTACCGACTCTCCCCAAAGGAAAATGACGGGCTGAAGCGACAAATTAAGGAACTACTAGACGCTGGACTAATATGACTGAGCAATTCACCATGGGGGGCGCCGATACTATTGGCCAAGAAGAAAGACAACGAGCTATGGATGCGCATCGATTACCAAGCCCTGAACAGCAGGAGCGTCAAAGACCGATATCCCCTACCGCGAGTCGACGACCTTATGGCCAACTCACAGGTGCAACCGTCTTCAGTAAGATGGACCTACGATCCGGTTATAACCAGATACTGATATAGGAAGAAGATATACTGAAGATGGCTTTCGTCACACGATACGGGAGCTATGAATACTTGGTGATACCTTTCGGCCTATGCAATGCACCGAGCTCCTTTCAGTGGTATATGAACCAAGTATTTGGCGACGTGGCGGACGCATTTCTCATCATATACCTGGATAACATACTCGTCTACAGCCGGAATATGGAAGAACATATGGAGCATCTACGGATTGTCATGGGACGTCTACGGGAGCATGGACTAGTCGTCAGACCCCACAAATGCTCCTTCGCAGCGGAAGAGATGGAGTTCCTGGTAGTGGTGGTCAGGAAGCATAGAGCCCGACCGGATGACTCAAAAATTAAGATTGTCCAAAAATGGCCCACGCCGAAGAATGTGCATTATGTAAGAGCATTCCTCGGGCTGGCTGGCATGTGGTTTTTCTGTGCTCGCCCCATGCGATGGATCGACGATCTGTTACGCGCACTGGCCTGATGTGGGGGACGCCCTACTACTGGCCCTTGGTGTGGGGGACGCCCTGCCCAAGATCGTATTATAATCCTTGTCATACAGTAACCATTATACTTATATGGATATGGGAGTAGGAGGGGTGGTCCCGCCTAGGTCCCCGTAAGGACCTAGGTGCCCGGCGAGGCGGGTCCGCGGCTCAAAGAGGGCAGGAACCCCACACCCAAAGTCTTTTCGTATCATTTGGTTTTGGAGCCACCTGAGGGTGGCTACCACGCTTCCGCCTGGGCGGACGCGCAAGTTCGGAGCGACGGGCTCCCTCCCTGGTCTCCGCCATGGAGGCCGAGGAATCAGACAGTTCTGCCCGCAAGGGTACCCCCGATACGTTGCGTGAGATTGGTACACCCCGGGAGGGGACACCGACTTCGGTTGGTGCAGTTCAAGCCCGGGATGGGCAAGGAGGGGTAAAAGTCCGGGAGGACATGGCTGGACCCTCCACAGCCACTTCACCACCCGTAAGGGAAGATGAACCGATGGGGGAAGCGAGTGCCCCACCGGTGGCGGAGAAGAAGCAAGAGCAAGATCAGGGGACCATGGCGGCGCTGCTGCAAACCCCTGGTATCATGGAGCTCTTGGAACAAGTGGCGGATGCTGCTGCCAAGAAGGCGAGGGAGAAGCGGGACGAAGACACTGCGGAGAGAATTGCCTCGCTGGAAATTACCGTCAACAAGGTCAAGAAAGAAGCTCGGGAAAAAGAGGTGGCCATGAAGAAGGCGAAGCAGCAAAGCCGCGAGGCACAAGAAGCCAAAACCTCCGCCGAAGACCAAGTCAAGGCGTTGAGCGATCGCCTCCTGAAGCAGAAGCAGCGGGCCCAGGAGGCAGAAGAGAGAAGCGCCCAACAGGCGGCAAAGGCCATGAGGGCCCCAAGCCCGTCGGAACTACCCATGCCAACCATTCCAGAAGCCGAGGGCGACTGGAAGGTTGCCGGTAGACAGCGGCCAAAGCGGAAGAGCCCAT